AACCTTTTTTTTTTAATGTATTTATTTATTTATTTGTGTGTGTGTGTGTGTGTGTGTGTGTGGCCAGCTCAGCCCACCAGGGGGCGGGGCTGACTGGCATGTGGTGCTGGGGGATTGAACTGCGGTCCCTGTACTCTGCTAAGCTTGTTCTAAGTAGGTGCTTTAGACCACTGAGCCATCTCACCAGCCCCCCAACCTGCTTTGAAACTATCCATTGCAATTTTTTTCTCAACAAAATAAAAAAAAAACTGTGGTTATGAAAATAGAAAATAAAAAAATTTAGAAATAAGGTTAAGGACAAACAGGAGACCCAACTACTGAGTGATTAGGAAGTTTACAAAGTGAATATTATATCTCACTTTATGCCAATAAGATTTTTTTTTTTTTTTTTGTACCAGCGCTCCAACTCAGGACCTTGTGCTTGCTAGGCAGGTACTTGTGCTTCTGAGCTATCTCTCTAGCCCACAATAAGATTTTTTAGAAATGTAATTAAATGAATAATTTTCTAGAAAACTTTATCAACCCTAATCAACCCTAACTCAGTAACTATTAAATATATTGAGTTAGTAATTAACTGTTTCCAGGGTTGGCCAAATAGCTCAGCAGATTAAAGCGCCTGCAAGCAGGCACAGTGGGCAGGGGTTTGATCCCCAGTCTTGCCATGCTGGCTCTGCCCCTGGGGCATGCTGAGCTGGCAATTGAGACTGGGCGTGGTGGCGCGCGCCTGTAATCCCAGCACTTGGGAGGCTGTAAACAGGCGGATCACTAAGAGTCAGATCTAGTAATGAGACCCTGAACACCCCGTAGACACTTCCCTAAATACAGAGAAAAGAAAAGTAATTAACTGTTTTCACTGACTCAGAAACACCACATCAAGATGGTTTCGAAAGTAAGTTCTAATCAACATCCACCGGGGCTCTGCGGTGCTGTTTCTCTCGGTGACGAACCACAGTCTGTACAGCTCCGCCCAAAAAGTGCTGGTGCTCAGTGAAGCCACCACCATAGTTTATGATGATAAAGTAAATACACTCCATGATGCTTGCACAACAAAAAAGGGCCTACGGATGCATTTCTTAGACCATATCTCTGTCACTAAGTGATGCGTGACTGAATTTTTATGTAAATTACTGCAGAGAATAGGAAAAAAAAAAAAGCAGGAAGGGAATTTCTAATGTAACCAAACATAGGCAGTTTATGAACCAAACATAGGTTCATAAATTAGACTAATGAAGATACAAAAGTCCTGAGCAAACAAAAAACAAAATTCCTTGAAGGTGGTGGAGTGCCCCTGGGTCAAATTCTCAGTAGTGAAAAATTGTTGGGTAGAGCCAGGGAGATGGCTCAGTGGAATAAGCGCTTCCCTGGCAAGC